AAATTAATGTTAATTTTTCCTCCAAAGATAACTTTCCCCCCTAAATGCAAATAAAAAATGTTGATATTCCTACGCTCGCTCCCTCCTCAGCTTTTTTTTTAACATGTTTGATAACAGAGAATATCTAGGTCATTCTTCGGTAATATGATATTTTTTCACTGATGAATTGATTATACTATATCAACAACTGTAGTAAAATCATGTTAATTGTTCGTTAATTATCATAAAGTTTCCTTTAAGAGGAAAAAAAAAACATTCTGTGTGTAGAATGTTAAATGACGGAATTTTGAATGCCTGAGCTGATTCCTGCACGTGTGTAGACAAACTACACATAGGGAGAGTACGTATGAAATGTGTAACAAAACCCGAACTGGCCGGGGGATTTCTAAACTGACAATCGTTTAATTTTTATGAATCAGAATTTGTATTCATGTGATTAATTATGAAAAAAAGTTCTGTCTGCCATCGTAACTTCTCTGTGAGCGGGAGTCCGAAATTTTGACAACTCCATCGCACGTGTGTATAGACCAAGGCTAACTGGTCTTGCGGACATAGGTATGTGTATATTTGTTAGCACGGTTAGGATAAATGGGTGATTTCCGTAATGTTACTGACTCACGAAATTTACACAAGTTCTATAACTATAACTAGACAGTGCAGTTTTATTTTTATAAACGTCATTAAACACTGTTAAACATATTAAATCTAAAAGTCGAATATCTGTGGATATGGGGTGACGTCCACGATAATATTTTTTAATGCAGAAAAAAAAAATCATCATCAGTGATTTATAATTACTAAACGATATTTTTATGCTTTATATTTTGATTTTGAAATAAAAATATGATGCTTCGAGCAAAATAGTACTTTGTTAACTCAAAAAATCCGGTTGTGTTCTATGGCTAAAGATGAGTATTTTGCTTTATATAATGAAATCATTTCAAAAGCCAGTATAAGGTAGCTAACACTATTTAAAATACTGCAAAATAATTGAGGTTATTTAGTATGCAGCGGCATACATGTAAAATTTTATCTTAACTCGGCATTTAATTTTTGCCAGCAGTTAGGGAAGGAATAAATGCAAAGAATTCTTTAAAGGTTTCAAATTAATAAAACTTAAATTCTTTTCATTTTTCCTAAGTAGCCAGATTTGGAAATGTTGCTCTCTGGAAGGTGGCCTCCCTGACTAGTACCTTTGATGAATACTCTGCTGCTCATCAAGCTATTGATGGGGTATGGCCTGAGGCAGGAAGTGACCATCGCTGTGCACAAACCAACCTCGAATGGGCTCCACAGCTATTTATAGATTTAAAACAGGAACACTATGTCGACCATGTCGTTTTACTAAGTCGTGGAGATGTTGGAATTAGTCATGGTAAAACCCGTTTGCCTAGTTGCTTTATTGTATATTTATATGTTTAAATATACATGTATACATATTTAATTCTTAAATTCCACTGTGCAGTAATATCTTAAGGTGTCGCTCGTGTGTCGCAGTATATGTACATGTAGTTAGAGCGCATGCTCATGAGTGGAGGAGTAAGGAGTTGATCCTTACGTCGCGGGTTCGAATCGCACTGTGGAACGTAGAGACCCGTCCTTTGGATGAGACCGTATAAACCGAGGTCCCGTGTCGCACTAGGTGCTGTCAAAAAAGATCCCTAATGGCCTTTGGTGTCGAGTATAGGACTTTTCAGGTCTTCACCGGCAATTGGTGACGTCTCCATATATGAGCAAAACAATTGTCAAGAAAGACGTAAAAAACAACAAATAAACAAATCAACAATTCATGGTTTAAAAATTATAAATTTGGTGGCTTAATTTAGCTTTTCGTCCAAAAAAAAATATTAAACGCCGAATAAAGAACTTCTAATAGGAGTTTGGAATTTTTATTCAGATTTATACGTTTAACATTGTTAATATCTTATTACGAATCATTAATCAGTTCTTCTTTCAGGTTTTGCCTTATCGAAGATAAATATTTGGGTAGATGGTTCTCATTGTGGGTATTTTGAGGGTCCAGCGGAACCTGGAACTAATGCCACAATTGTCTGCAGTGGGTGTTATTTTGGAAAAGTTGTCGCCGTATCAGCCTGGGACGGTATCTCGTCACGATATCTCTCGGTTTGTGAAGTTATGATCATCGGACTGAGAAAAACGTGATTATCGTTTTCTTATTACATACAACAACCTTGTGTCCATTTTGATTTTAATCATGAAATTCAACTTGACGTTGACTGCAAGCTGGCTTAAAATTATGTCATTGTACATGTATTTGGAATGTACATACGTGTACACAAAAACATATAATCTTTAGCTCATCATTTGTGTTGGATTGTAAACTTTTATTGGAAAGAATACACACTGAGATATGGCAAAAAGCTATCTCTACGGTTCGTTTCTTGAACCTTTACTATTCAGAATGAAACTTCTTGCCCTTTTAAGCTTTCGGTTGTGAATAAATTATAATAAAAGCATTTTAAATGTCTCTCATTATTCTTCCATTCAATTGTGAAAAGCCTCATTTTTAATTAAATGAATAAATGTACATAAGTAAAAATGTTTTACAATAGAAGTATAACAAAGAAAAGCCATTAACAAAGAGCGTGCTTTAAAATATTGAATGAACTGAGAGACATTAACTACAAATGCAGGTGATAAGAGTATATCCTTCTTATACATGCATTCTTAAGAATATTGCATTTTCAAAACTGGATCTAATCTAGTTCATTTAAAAGTAAATATTCCATAATTGTGTCCAAAAAGTCATTGACAGAATAAAATGCAAACCTGGTCTATCACCAATTACGTCAAACTTGTACCAAAAACCAGCTTGATTTATGCAAGAAATCAGGTGGTAAACCAGATGGGACAAACTAACAGGCAAACAAAATAAGTTAAATAACCCATTACGGTAAAATCAGCTAAACTCGTACCAAATATCAGGTAAATATCTTCAAGTGTTTAGAAAAAAGGTGTAGAATACCAGGTGGGACAAACTGACAAACAGAGGGATAGACAGATAGAGATAAAGAGAGATGGATGAACAGTTAGTCAAATAGATGCAGCTTCACCAGATTGGTAAAAAAATGACTATAGACGAGTTGAATTTCTCTAGTTTATTAAAACTTCTGGTTCTTAGATTATAGTCATCGTCTTAAATAAAGAGTCCCCAGTCAAGAACAGTCAATAACATTCAAGAAGCAATGCAAGTTTATGTTATTTAATGATTGAATTATTTCATAAATCAATAATACACATGTATGTTGAACTTTTATCAGTCAAAACGACGATTTAAGAAACATATTTGGTACAAAAATCATCTCCCTCGTCGGGCCTTTTGAATATTATTTCCTTGAATTGTATATCATTCTATTGACCTACTCAAAAAATCAAAAATTTTATTTTAATTTTAAACTCGTAAGTATTTAAACATGAATCGGAATTCCATGTTATGACAATTTTTGCAATGTACATTGAATGCAGTTGAAAATATGGATAAATATTGAAAATGCAATATCAAATCTAGACTTTATAGGGAAGTAATTTCACAATTTTACAGAGGTACAAGATTAAAAATCAGACGTTTTTTGTTTTGCATTGTTTCGGAAATTGGGAAATCGGACATGGGATCACAATGTTGTTGAATGTTTGTTATGACAAATGTGTCCGATCCGGAGGATTCAATGCTGAGTATATAAGTGCACTGCTCTTATTGTCATTAATTTCATTGTGCTGTCCATGAGTGAAACAGATGAAAACTAATCCTTGGACTTTACCAGACAGCATGCGATAATTTCTAGATTAACAGAAGACTCACTTTTTTAAGCAAAACAAATACTTTGCAAAAGATTTTAGGGTTTACATCTGTTTTCTAATCAATTTCAAACGTTTACAGAGAGACACGAGAGTAAAGATTGTAGACTTGTAGACAAAGAAAATACAGTGATAAATCACTATATTAAAAAAAAGCTTAAAAATTCTGAAAATTTTGGTTTAGAAAAAAGGCCTATGAAGAATCGTAAGTCAAAATACGACCGGATACTACATGTACTTTAAATTGGCTTCTAATGTCAATTTAATGACCATTTGAATTACAAAATGCTGACTATAATATATCTAAAAAACAACTTACCGGTATATGTCAGTAGACAAGGGTGTGTCTTTTGCAATTTGGGTTTAGACTTCTCCTTTGTCTTACCCTTACACATTAGTAGAGCATAGAAAGGATTTCTTGAACAACTGTACATGTATACTCAGTAAAAAGACATAGTTTTGGAAATTTAAAGCTATCTTTAAATAGTTTATGAACTTGATATTGTGTGGAGTTTCCTTGAATAACAATTTGTCAAAACAAGCTATTGACCAAAAATTGATGACACAAGGATATAAGCAGTCTTCCCTGAAATCATCATTTCACAAGTTCTCCATGTGTGGTCTATACAAAGACCTTATCTGTAAATACAATCTATCATCAAGTTAAATGTTTGCATACTCATCAAGCCATTATTAACTAAATGAAATTTTTACGGAATTTAATCGATCAGGACAAGAAGTACACGTCAGGTGTAAGCGATCGACAGAGAATACTTACTATTCCATGGCATCTGATTCTGCCTGTGATGTTTTGGGAGGTCTGTGTTTAATCTGCTCCCGCGATATATATTGTTTTAATGGCTTTTTAGAGCTTGAATACTTTTCGTATTGTCTACATTTCAGCAGGGTTTTTTTTAGTATTTACAGCTACATGTTCTTGTAACATGGTTACATGTACTGACTGGTAATGAATAAGCCCCATGGCTTGGAGAAGGGTTTTAACAAGTTGTTTTGCAGTTCACTATTGTTCCCAGCAAACAATACCGGGGGAGACTGAACTTTAAAAGGTCAGGATTTTGACAGTGGCATGTCAAAACAATAGCTTAACACCAACAGTTGCAGCTGATCGTTATAATATTTTGACAATTTTGTCATCCAGTGCTGTAATATTCATGGTTATAAAATGAGTCTCTATCGAACAAGCCCAATTAAACTGAAATTTATTGGATATTTAAGTGTGTTCAATATGTCCACCATAATGGAAAGAAAGGTAAGATAACTATTTACTTATTTTTAAATCCTTCGAAATACAAGAAATGTGTGATAATAATTTTAAAATCAAAGGTAATGCAATTATACAAGAAATTATACTGCAAAAATAATTTTTGGGAAATAAATAATTTTGAATAGCATTATCATTAATATCCTTGATTTTCTTTTAATGAACAATAAAATTTATATACAATATAAATTTAGTCATAATTAGAAAAATGCATATTATATTTGGCATGTAGGTAAATTTGAAAAAAGTAAAGGAAAATTATGCTTATTTGATGATATGTATAATTAAAAATATGTCTGATGTATTATTTATTTTTAACTATTGAAAAAACTTGATTGACCGATGCATATCAATTCTAGTTTAAATTAACCTCCATTTTGATTTTTTTTAATTTCATTTCATCCAAAAGTACTCAATTCAAATTAAAAAAAGAATATATTATTTATCTTGAAATAAAAACAAAACAAATTTTAAAATTAATCAACAGAAAAATCCAATAATATACATGTAAGGATGCTACACTGACCATAAATAATAATAATTAAAGATATCATTTATATCTTAGGAATATAAAGTATCATTAGATGATCAAATAAATGGTATGAAAGAAGCAAAAGAGATTTGTAATGCAACGATTCAAAAACATGGACCAACTGAAGGTAAGACAAGTTCGTTTTTATTATTTCTTATACTGTAGAATCATCTTAAGGATATCCGATCCTCAGACAGGAAGGATAACTCCAAAATTTAATATTTAATTTGAAATGCATCAAAATGAAGCTTAAAAATGAAAATTTTTCATGCAACACTTTTCATTTTATTCATCTTTATAAGATTAAAAGTTTTTGGAAGTCTTAGAAAAGGTCTTATAAAAGATTTATTGAATCCAGCCTTATATACATATGTACCAATGCTTATTAGCATGATATGAAACGATAAGTGATTTGTGGTGTCTTGCAATGATAGCAAAAACCTTTGACGCTATGTATTATAGAATATATGAAGGAATTAGAAGAAAAAAATACCAAAAAAGTATACTGCAAAAACAATCATGACATAATTTTGAATGCATTATCATTAATACCTATCGTTTTTTAACCTAAAAATATATTAATTTTGTTGATCAATTTGCAGTTAGGAAAATGCATTGCTGATATTATAATTCGCCTTTTATTATTTATTTTTAATATTGAAAAAATTTGACAATTTTCCTCTATATAATATGATTTTTTTTAATCTTTAACTTTCAAACAAAAAAATATCTTGAAATAAAAAAAAACAAATTTTAAAATTTATCCAATAATTACAGAGATACTTTTAATAAAGTATTTTTGATAACTTAACTGCTAATTTTATAAACCTGAGAATCGGACTACCTTAATTCGTGGGGGGTCAATGTTTATGGGCGAGCAAAGATTTGTTAGTTTTTGTTTGGTTCGTGGTGAAGTTATTTCGTAGGTAAATCGTATATACAGAAGTTTCTTGACAAAATAAATGTTTGTTGGGATGTAAAATCATTATTAAGGGAGGCCCAATAAATGAAAACACTGACACTTAAATATGATTTTGAAAATTCCCTTTTCAAAATTGTTTTTTTTTCTTCTATTTGCTTGATTTCTCTTTACAAGAGATTTGGTGAAAATTTAATTGGGATTACTTTAAGTTGATTAAGAATATGATTTTTCTTTGCAGTTCTATTGCTAAATGAATTTTGTTCCTTATATTAAATTGTTTGTCTGTACTTCAATGGGGGTGGGTGGGTGGGGGTATATATTTCAAAATATAAAGCATGTATATTTGCTTTAAAAAAATTCTATATATTAATGTTGAATACTGCAACAAATGTCATACCGATATTTCTAAATGTCGTATTTTTGTAAATACATTTTAAAGTATACTACACATAATGCAGAAAGGATGTCTATACAGCTTTAATGTTTTATACCATGGGTCAAGAAATGTGAATTGATTTTTCAAATGAATTAAGCGTTAAAAATGTAATTTAATCAAGGTCGTCTCAGTTGAAATAGAACTAGGATATAATGAATGGACTGCTAAATAGAACGAATGGATAACAAATAATTCAATAACTCAAAATATTTATAACTTTGTGATACATGTTATTTTCTATGTTATGGTTTTTTTTTTGTATTTAAATTTACGTACACTCTTTTCCCTGTTCATATAAAATAAAATATTTTTTTTCGTATGGACTTTTAACAGCTTATTATTAAACTTAAATTATATCTTTATTGTTTTCATTTCTTTGTTGTTGTAATACGTTTTCGTAGTTTAAAATACATTAATTTTTAAGCATATCAAACATAAAATCCTTATCTAATTTCAGTAGATAAATTTACTTGACGTTTTTCTACAGATCTATTATAAGATTGATATCAGTAAATACTGTGTTGACATTTTTAAAAGATGTCCTTCTATTTTGGTTTATATACACAGATTGATGACTGTAGTGTCATGTTGTAAATTTTGTATTTACTGCCACCCGGTAAATTTAAAATTTAACATGACAGTTGAGAAATTTAGTTGATTTTTTTAAAATCAGATCTCTTTTGTCCACCTGTTTGGGGTCATATGATGATTGATGTTAGTAGATTCATTAACTTTTTATTTTACAGATCTACTATGTCCACCTATCTGGGATCATATTATGTGTTGGAGATCTGCCAAACCCGGAACCACTGTTTCTGCACCATGTCCTAGTTACATAGACAGGTTCCTCATCAATGGTTAGTCCAGATCTAAAAATGTATTTCCTATTACATGTAAAAAGAGTTCCTTTAGCAACTGATCAAAAATCAGCATATTAAATAATTTATGATTAAAGAATTAAATATCAAACAATTAGAATCCTACAATTTAATTGCATGTCAGTGGTGAGGCCCATAAGACCATAAACGAAGAAAAAAAAATTCAAAAGTAAAATTTTAATTTAGATTATTTGATTTTTATTTTATCAAAATATTAGAAAAAGTTTATAACATCCAAGAACAAAAAAGTGGTGAATTCAAAGTTAAATACTCCTTTAAACGTTTGTTCTCAGTTTATAATCTTGACGTATCAGAAATACTTGAAAGGTCATGTAAGATAGCATCCTTTTTTGATTTATTAATAAATGCACATTTCAATAACTCACCTCCTCCAAATCTTAAGCAAGATCTTTTGAAGGCTTCAGTTTCTTGTTGTGTACTCTGTGTTGGTTTAAAGAAAAATCACAACAAAATACATATTATAATAGATGCTTTCCCAAGTTCATAACAATATTAATCATTTTAGGGTTTCTTATAAGTTCGGGTTTTTGCTTGAGATTTGGAGGAGGTGAGTTAAAATATTATGATAAAAATATGAATCTTTGCATTATAGGTTTTGCCAAAAAGACCTGCACCAATGATGGTACATGGTACCAGAATCCACATACCAACAGAAGTTGGACTAACTTCACTAACTGTATACAAAGTGAAGCCAGTCAAAACTTACTAAAAGTAAGCTAATAAATTTTCTACTTGACACTTATAAAGGAGGCATATAATATTTTTCAACAGCCCAAAAATCGATGTTTGATTGAACTAATGGTACAGTTTTTCTTACTTTTATTCAAAGTATCCATACGACAGAAAGGTGCATAAAGGCATTATGCCTTTTTCTATCACGAAATCTAGTTTCTGGTAGCTTCAGCCTAGCCTACAACGTGCAAAAATTATTTTAAATTAAGCTTAATGTATTGAGTGTCATTTTTTATAGATCATATTTATTTTTATATAATATAAAATAATTTTTATAGATAGCAAATGATGATCAAATTTAAAAAGCCCATTGAAACTATGTAAAAAAAATATAAGCGGAACCAACATGGCCTTTGAAAACAGATGGCACTTCAAGAGCCATGGAGGAGAATGCATACTTTAGACTGATTAATTCCACTGGGGCTCCTAGCCGTGATCTGGCATACAGAAAAATCCGTAGATAGTTAAGTTTAAAAAGTGTCATGTTAACATTTTATAGATTTATTAAATGAGCTTGCAAGAATTAGTGTTTTAGGGATATTTATAATTCGTAGAGAGAGAGAGAGAGAGAGAGAGAGAGAGAGAGAGAGAGAGAGAGAGAGAGAGAGAGAGAGATGTAAGAATTAATCGTAAGTTATGTTTAATTAAGATGCCAATGCATAATGTCTTTTATATATGCTGAGTCATGTTGCACATCTTAAAATCTAAATATTTTTTTTTTTCGTTTTAGAAAAACCTAAATTATATACAGACTATCTCGATGGCAGGTTATGCGCTTTCAATTATATCCCTAATCATTGCAGTAATTATGCTGCTTAGACACAGATACAGGTGAATATTTACATTTGAAAATGTTTTCCTTTATATTACATTATACTGAAAGCAATGCGTATCTCTAACCGTATAAATACAGGTTCTTTGAACGTCATAAACGTTCGACGTTATTTCTCAGTGACGTTGTAAAAGGTCGTAAAAGGTCGACGTGCTCTCAGTGGATTACATACATGCCATTGGGTTTGAAAATTAAAGCATTGCGTCCGTTAAAAGTCCAGGCAACTATAAAGTATGAATAAGTCACGAATCTAAATATAAGTAATAACTAAAGCCCTTCGGGCTTTATGGAATTTGATCTCGTGACCAACCCGTATTTATATCCCGAAAGATGTTTTAAAATGAAACCTTATTATGCTCCTGGTTGAAAAGTGGTAGGGTATATTAGTAATCAGGATGTCCGTCCGTCTGTCTGTTACGCTTTGGTGTTTCCATCTCTTATCCGCAACTCCTCTTATACCACTGAATGAAATTTAATGAGAATTTCACAGTTTCTTTCTTTTATAGTACCATTGTGACCTCACATTTTACTTTTTGAGTCCATTTTATTTTGAGTTTTCCAGAGCAAAACATTGACACTGCCATTTTTTCTATAATATTGAAGGGTATCCATCTCTTATTCGTATCTCCTCCTTTACCAGGGATTAAAATTTAATGATACTTTCACGGATTTTTTAATTACATAATGCCATTGTGAACCCCCTATTTTCACTTTTTGACCTAACACTTATTTTGGGCCTCCAATAGCAAAACAATGACTTTGTCATTATAATCATACGGGAGGTGGGGTATCATTTAGTGAGCTCGTTGCTCACAGTACCTCTAGTTTCTTAAATATTTCAGGAATTACGGACATTGTGCAAACAATTTTGCACAATAAAGATGCAAAATATATTGTCGAGTACGGTAAAATTAGGATTTTTATTCAAATAAATTTTATTTTATTTTTCAAATTTGCAAGTCCTCGAAATTTGATAATTAAAGTCGTATTGATTTATAAGCGTTACGGGAAAAAATGAAAACAATGTAAGAGGGTATTCAATAATTTCTAGCTGAATATGGAATTCATTTTACAAGTTTTTATTTTATTTATCAAATTTTATTTTTTGAAGATTTAATGAATGCAGAGCACTGTGAAAATATTTATTTTTTTCTGTGAAAATATGAAGTGGATTAATTCAATGGCCTTAAAAATTGCAATAGAATAACAGGTAGAATTGATTTTGCCACATACATGTAAACACGTACGACAAAGCTGAGAAAAAAATGAAACAAAGAAAATATGACAGTGCGAATTTTAAACGGGGCAAGTAAAATTAATTGCGCGTGTGAAAGAGCAATCATTTATTTCTATTTATTTGTTAAAAATGTTATGAACATACAAGTATATACTTTAAATTTTGTTTATTGTATTATAAGAAAAAAATACTAATAAATTTTTTTTAAAATCTTATTTTAGTATAGGTTCTAAAAGACCAAGATCAAAGATAACATCTCTACATTTAAATTTGTTCATTGCGTATTGCCTGAGATCCATCGCTTCACTTTTGATGGAACATATATTTTCTATCAGCGCTAAACATCAGGCAGGGGAGATCACTGAAACACAGATCCAAAACTCGGTCAGTAATATTAAGGACATTATAATCATGTACTATGTGTTTTTGTATGACATGCGTCATGCATGTAACATAAGGTTTTTAGACATAACAACGGGAAGGTTTGTCAAAACAAACTGACATAGAAGAAATGTGTTGTCATGGCAAAATTCGCTTTTCATAAATAATAAATAATTCGCGTTGGGATGTGTTATGTATATGTTTCTGTAAAACTACACAATAGCCTGTTCATCATATACCCCCAACAATTTATCTGACTCAATCCAAAGTCATTTTTCACGGAAAATGGGCATTTATATTTATGGTAGCTGGTATGGTATAACGTGAATCTTTACTATAAATAGTATATTTATAATTTGATAATTAATATATTATTATATTTTTCATTTCTTGATCATTTACATGGACTCTGTAGTACTTTTCTGAGATTTTTATCTCTCAAATTCTATCCAAAAGAAAGCAAATATTTACTTTGATTTACAGTGGCAAAAATGGCAATTAAAAAAGAATTATAATGAAAACGTAATTACCTTACATGTAAGTATAGTACTTGATTTTTAATTTTTTAAATTTGTCTTAATTTTAGGACTATAATTTTATACATACATGTATGTTGTATTTTCTGAGTTAGAACATTCTCATCATGTAACGTATTTATTGCTTAATATGATGCCATTATTGTTAATGGGGACACCAGTGTCCCAGTAAGCAACACATTAAAAATCGTGTAATTGTCAAGATATCTGCAAAATTGAGAAGACTGAAAATGGGGAATGAAATATATGGAGGTAATGAACAGTATTCAAACAACAATCAAACAAATACACATTTTGGAGCGGAGCTGAGCAAACACAGGCCTCTAAGATATCAGAGGTGGGATCAAGTGCCATGGAAGAGGGAGCTTCCCCTGCAAACCAGTTTCATCCACCTCTTTGAATCAGGAAAGAAAGGGAAAATCTGTGGACAATTCCGTAATTAAAGACTGATAAAAGTAAGAGTTCTGGTAAAATAGACGAATTCCGACTTGGACAAAATTATAAACCACCTGGAAACACCAGTAATTTTTTGAGAATCAATCAGTCATTATATGATTTAACGTCAGGGGGATTTTTCAAAGAAAAATGATACTAGCATTTGAGAAATGATAGATAAAAAAAAAACCTTCAAAACGGTAACTTAGTCGCAAAACGTGATTACGTCATTTTTTCAATCGTCAACTTTGATATGCAGCATTATAACCATGTCACTAGTATATGTGGTTTACGTCTCTCAGTTGATTCGTTACGCAATAACATGCTCTACATACAATTTTTTTAAATGAGGCAAGCTATTGACAAAATAGTTGATAAAAAAGGAAACTCTACATTTTAGTTTATCGCAAACCATGCTTGAAAGTATACACTTCAACCGAAATTGTGAAGTGTTGAGTGATGACACTGATGAATCTGACTGAAATACAGCTGCGAAATCCCACAAAGAATATGACTGGTGTTTTATTTATAGGCCCGCCCACTTTCTCAAATGTAAAGCAGAAAAATAAAGTCCTTTCATCATATGGAAATCGATGTTATCTATCATTTAGACATTTGTAGGAAGTTAGGAAAATACTGAAGTCAGCTTTCTTATATTATAGCAAATAAAAAGTTTGGCATATTATATAACGACCATCTTCCTCCCTCTCTCTCTCTCTCTCTCTCTCTCTCTCTCTCGTATATCTCTCTCTCTCTCTCTCTCCTAGTATGGATGATTTGTTGTAACCCATGGTATTTTCAGAAAAGAAATAACATTTTTCCACACCTTTTAATTGGATGGGGTAAGAATGGTTGATTTCAATATTGTACGATATTCTGATAGGCAAATATCTGACTTCTTCTTTGAGCATTGTTGATTAATGATTTAAGGATACGCCACGTTGTTTTGAATTTAAATTATTTCTTAATACCTGTAAAATTAAAAAATACAGTTGTTGTTACGATTCTCGGCAATACTGTACACCACCTCTTAATGAAATTTATAGGAAATACCAGCTACGAGGGGTTATCAAAAAGTTCGTGGACTGGCGCAATAAAATTAAAACCACTTTAGGCATAGTAATGAATTTCAAAACATTTAGTTAGCATCATCTTTTCTATCTATAGAAAAAACCACAAATCATAGATCTTATTTTTTTTTTTAAATAAATAGTGTTTTTGAAAGCAATGATTTGTCTAGGCGGCGCAACCTCGAAAATGACTTTTTTTTCGCCCTCGGTATTTCCGAGGAAAACTCCTTTGTTATGAACATCTGACATCAAAATATCCCATTAATTCTGGTTTGTGATGAGACGGTATTACCCTGTAAAATTTGTAATTTTTACATCATTCGGTAAGTTCTATAAAATGTTATCGTACATTTTGTCTGGAATGTCCAAAAATTAAGGGCTTTCAGATGACGTCAAAAGGGGGAAGGGAGTTCTTTTTCCAACATTTCATAAAGTTTTGTGCCTGAAAAAACTGTTATACACCTACAAAATGTTAAATTTGGCTACAGGGAAATAAAATGCATCCAGAGGACTTGTTTTTAATGCCAAAATATATTCCGAGAGAAAAGGAATGAACAGTTTATGTCGATTTGTACTCATGGTATGAAAAATCATTCACGTCAAAAATGACGTTGGTTATTTGTGGTTGATATTGAACACAAAAAGCAAACTGTGTTGACACAATCAAGCAAGGATCTCTCCCAATGAATAAATCCATATGCAATATTATATGCATTGAAAGCCGCCTTTCATGACATTGTAAAGGCATACAAACAAGAAGGGTTTAAGTCCTTAGTCAACTCCAGGAAACTTCATCACGATAAGTGTATGAGGTAGAAGAATCGGACTTTGAAAAATACGACGCTTTGGGACGTCATAAAATTAAACGACGACAGCGCCGGGTGATCATATAATGTCGTTTTTATTTTATTATAATTTGGCAAATAATGAACGTATGAAGCTAAAAATTTCAACATTTCTTTATTTTTTGTTGTTTTATGTTCCTTATGAATTTTGAAAGCACAGACTACGTAGTATTAATTTTATAGCCTCAGTCCACGAACTTTTTGATAACCCCTCGTAAAACTATTTTGAGCAAAATACCAGGATTCTCATCATTTTATATAAGATCAAATCTCCTGTTTATGAACGCTGATTTTGTATGTGTAAGAACATCTTTGGTACCATGATTTTATATTTAGAATATCTTAGAAAATTATAATTAGAATAGTTATAATTGTTTGCACAAATTGTAGAGGTAACATTTATTGAAATAATGATTTTATTTACATGAACAATGTATGTCGGTACCGCATTGTGTTAAGATAGTAGTAATTGACCTTACTTGCAGGTGGACCTTTGCTTATAGTGATACCATGGGTTTGTCTGCGGATTTTCTTAGATGATGAGATGTGAGTGTTTATAAATATTCTTCTTTTCTTCATTTTAAGCATTATGCTCTTTTCACCAACTTTTCAACAGCAAATTATGAAAACCACTGAATTATGTTTTGTTTCTATCTATTATTTACAGGTGTTGGATGACAATCGATATTAACAACTATGAGTCCTGGGAGGCCTGGATGTTTTTGGGGCCTGTGCTTATTATCAATACGGTGAGAATGTTTTGTTAATTGGTGACTGAAAAAACTTATTAAACTAATTTATCTTTGGCCTAATGAAAAGTAAATTAATATAATTTCTTTTTCATTAATTTATGAAGTACTTGTCATTTACCCTGAGTAAAAAAAATCAGGACAAGTACAGTGTATTAATATCAACATTTATTCGGGATAAAATATGCAATTATCTTAATTTAATGTAATATTTATAATTCTTTACCTAACTATAACTACATTGGGAATGCAACAGTGTTTAGACTTAGAGCTTTTTGATGGAAAAATGTCATAAAGATGTAAAATAAATTTAAATCAATTTTTTCAGGTAAACATTGTTTACTTAATCCTGATAGGCAGGTTTGTCATAAAGAACCACATGATGAAGAAAATTACCAGTAGCTCAACAGAGTAAGTATTTATCATCAGTAAAAATAGAAACGTGACCAAATATATTACATAAATAATGCAAATTGATCCCATGAGGAAACCTGGAGAGAGAGAAAGAGAGAGATTTCTTTTATCACCAAGGCAATTTTATGATTGGTTACATTTTGATACATTTTAAGTTTCAGAAGGCATTGCAGTGGACCAAAAGAACATACCATTACTACAATCCTGTAAGTTACTCACGGAAAGCAAAATCAGTATCAAGTGGAGGCATAAATTTGACTTTTATTTGATGCTAATCTGGATGAAATAAAGCTTTACAGGCTTGTGAAATTGCAATAGTAACCTAACCTAGAACTTTTTTAAAAATTTTCTTTTCCATTTTTTGTTACAGAAATACAGCGAAGCATATCTGCATCATCATTCCTTTACTTGGAGTACCTGACATTGTACTTACTATTTTGTCATTTTGGCCTAATATTCATTTCTTGTATGCTGATATGTTTTTCAGTTCGTTCCAGGTAAAGTACTTTATCATTACATGACTTTGATAAAATATATCAATCCTAGCACTGCTGTCACATTTCTGCATTGTCTTTATCACAGATTAAACATATACATTTTTAACTATAAAGCAAAAATGATATTAAAGTTACATTTATAATAATTAATTAAAATCATTTTTAGTTTAAAAAAAGTATTACAAATGATTTTGTTTTATCTCAAAAAGGATGAGATTTTTAAATAGCAGTTGACCTTGATTAATTTACTATCTTTCCTTCAGGGTTTCATGTTAGCTGTGAGCTTGTGTTTGACGGAAAGAAAGGTATGGGTTTGTCTTCAGTTTTTTGTTTTTTTTTTTTTTTTGGTTCCTAAGAATAGAATAGACCAACAGTTTCCTTATAATAAACATTTGCTTGGTTTGAACAATAGTTTAATATCATATTTTATTTACTTTTCAATTATGTTTAAATTAAAAAAAATTAAATTGTTTTTATTTTTTCCAATTTACAGGCTGTCAAAGATTTTAAAAGCCTTGTTTTACCTTGTACATCATTAACAAGGAGAGTATCGAGATCATCTTCTACTGGAGAAAACGCGAGTGTTAATACAAGTATTTACCAACTAATGAATCATGGGAGCTCAACAGTGCACAGTGTGTAATGTGCACAACTCTTATGTGTGAATGTGTTAATGTAGTTTCAATGATATTGCTTATAACTAAAACGAAATAAATTATCATTTCTAATTTTTAAGTGTTTGTATGGTTAATCAAGAGCTTGCTCTGAGTATGATCAAATTTTAAAGCGAGGCCTGCTACTGCATGATAAGTTGATAATACAAGGGTTTCAAAAACCTCCTATTACGTCTGTGTTTATACTGATTTTCATATTAACAGACGCCTTAGACATTCCCTTCTGACTGACAGAAGGAACATTCGTTACAAAAAGAAATAAATTATGTAACTGTTTTAATAAAAAGACAAATTTAAACTAGAACTGTCCAAACGGGACAAAATACCCCCCGCTGGGTTTTTCAGAAGTAAGTTTTTCCATAAGAAAGATATGGACCGGACACAAATTATGACATTTTTCCTCCAGTGACCTTGAACTTCCCCAAATGACCTTGGGTCAAGATCATGACACAACCTTGGGTTATGGGCAATCTTTGTGTGAAATGAGAACCTACCAAGTTTATCCATAAGAAAGATATGGACCGGACACGAATTATGAAATTTTTCTTCCAGTGACCTTGAACTTCCCCAAATGACCTTGGGTCAAGATCATGACACACCCTTGAGCTATGTGCAATCTTTGTGTGAAATGAGAACCTACCAAGTTTATCCATAAGAAAGATATGGACCGGACACGAATTATGAAATTTTTCTTCCAGTGACCTTGAACTTCCCCAAATGACCTTGGGTCAAGGTCATGACACACCCTTGGGCTATGGGCAATCCTTGTGTGAAATGAGAACCTTCCAAGTTTATCCATAAGAAAGATATGGACCGGACACGAATTATGACATTTTTCTTCCAGTGACCTTGAACTTCCCGAAATGACCTTGGGTCAAGGTCATGACACACCCTTGGGCTATGGGCAATCTTTGTGTGGAGTAGTAGATTCTAATGTCCCTCTGTAAGAAAGATATGGACCGGACACGTTTGCACAGACAGACAGACAGACGGACAAGGTGATTCCTATATACCCCCCAAACTTCGTTTGCGGAGGGTATAATTATTTTTAAGATTAAATTCCTTTTGAAATTCTTTCAAGATGCCACAACCTATCAAGGAGACTAGATGCAGAAACAGAGCTTAGATCAGACATCATGTGTCCAAAACGTATTGACTTATTGTTGGTTGCTCTAATAAGTTGTTGCTGTGGAAAAGATAAATGGTGAAATATTGGTCTTTTTTTATCAAGTCACTTTTAATATCCTATCAGAGAACGCTTGGAAATACTGAAACACATCATATTAATAAGTAAACTGTTTTCACAAAACAAAGTCAAACATAGATCTCTGTGGCCAAGACATGTAGCCATAGTCATAATTTGATATTCTGTCATAAATGTAGAAACATATTTTAATTCTAAATTCAAACGAATCACAAAACCAAATGATCCTGATATGAAAGTCAAGAAATTAGTGAAATGATTTTTAAATATCAAGAAAGAGAGAGAAGAGGTAAACTAAATATTCAATGTATAGCTAATTATAATATACATGTAGTTATAATTAACGATGTATTGAAAAGTTTATACTCCTATTATTATAATAGTATACCTATAATAAAATAATAACAATATAAACTTGTCAAATTTAATTAATTTTAAATACTAGTAGTGACATGAATTTTCCCTTAATACTTAATTTTCTGTGAACTTACTGATTAATTAACAATGAGAAGTTTTCTATTTGCAAATTTACTGAGACAATCTTAGTTTCGAGGGAAAAAAATAGGTCGTCGGATTACATGTAGTGTTCAGTACATCAAGAAAAGGAAAATAGGAATGGAAATAATTGACAATGAAACAAACAGAACAGGTGTTAGTAAAGAAGACAGTGTCTACCATTAAACAACAGTTACTAGTATTTTCCTCTGAAAACAGTTTTTTTTTCAAATTTGTGTGGATTTTTAGGCCAGTCAAAATAATTGTATAAATGTTTTGTGTTGTACATGTAAATTATACTTTTATACTAGAATTGTCAACTGTAACATCACGACTCTACTTAAACATTTAAAACTGTACGAGTATATGTTTTGTTAATCTTTTATTTACAGCAATAGTTGTGAACATATTTAGGCTTATTAACAAAATATGAAAACTAGCTCCTTAGCTCATAAAAATTCTCAACAGGAAACTCTTAAGGACGATTGAAAACAGGTCAGACTAAACGGAAGTATACATTCTTCCTTGTTTACGTGCAAAAAGGCAGGACTTATGAGTAAAAGAACTTAAGTTAGGGCATATGGTATTTTAATGCTAAAGGAAAAAATGGGAAATAATTAACCTTATTAGCCATCCTTTCGTGTGGTAAAGGTAAGATTAAGAGCTATTTTCATTTTTACTAACTAGTTTAAAAATCAATTTACGTTGCAATGTTTAAATATTGAACAAAAATTTATGAACCTTTAACAGAATTGTTCAAAGACTTGAAACACATAAAGATTTGCATTCATTTTCAGATAACAGTAAATGCATTCTTCATATGGCTCATACAGAAAGAATGTTATGTTTTTCAGGAACGTTTTGTTTTTCACCACTTTCCATTCTGTAGAGTGGGGAGGAATAATTTATCGTTGTTTTGGGATCTTATGAGTCAAAATTTTATTAAAATGATCACGGAAACAATCAACTCGTTATATATTTGAAAAATTTCCTTTTCCCAGTTTTTTTTTTGAAATGTTGATAAATCGATTTTAAATGCAAGACAACAAAGAAAGCAACATATTCCTGAATGCTAATTTACTTTTAAAAATGAAAATTTCTTTTTTGATTTGTTTTTATGACTTAAATATTCCCAAATTTGATATCTGTCTGGAAAATAAGGATCGTTAGATGTTACTGATTTCCGAAGAACACAATGAAAATCGATAAGAACAAGCAAATTCAAAGAATTGTGGTCCCCCGCTTTCGGTGTCTTTGTGGGTGAGATGTTATTTTTTATGACATATTGTGTGTAATATGAACATACTATCATATGTCATTTATTTAGAAAGTAACACTGAAGTTGATTTTTTTTGAAGGATGAAAACCCTAATCCTGACTGTTAAAAAGTTATGGCCAAAGTAAAAATTTAAAAGTAGGTAACTCCAAGTTCATAAAAGGGTCAAAGTTTTTGATATCCAATGAAAGGTTTTCTCACAAGGATTACATATGTGAAGTATGAAAGCCCTAGCCCTTACTGTTCAAAAGTTATGGTCAAGGTTAAAGTTTTTTTCATAAGTACGCAAATCTTTAAGGTCAAGGTCAAAAGGTCAAAATTGTTGATATCCAATGTAAGGACTTGCCACAAAGAATACATATGTGAAATATAAAAGTCCTAGTATCTACCGTTCAAAAGTTGTGACCAAAGTTAAAGTTTTTTTTAAAAGTAGTTAAAACTCCAATGTCAAGGTCAAAGGGTAAAAGTTGTTGGTATCGAATGAAAGGTCTTCTCAAAAGGATTACATATGTGAAGTATGAAAGCCCTAGCCCTCACCGTTCAAAAGTTATGGTCAAGGTTAAAGTTTTTCATAAGTACGTAAATCTCAAAGGTCAAGGTCAAAAGGTCAAGGTTGTTTGTATCCAATGAAATGTCTTGCAACAAGGAATACATATGTGAAATATAAAAGTTCTAGCATCTACTGTTTAAAAGTTGTGACCAAGGTTAAGTTTTTTCATAAGTACGTAAATCTCCAAGGTCAAGGTCAAAAGGTCAAGGTTGTTGTTATCCAATGAAACTCACAAGGATTACATTTGTGAAGTATAAATGCCTTACTCACCGTTCAAAAGATATGGTCAAGGTTAAAGTTTTTTCATTAGTACGTAAATCTCCAAGGTCAAGGTCAAAAGGTCAAGGTTGTTGTTATCCAATGAAAGGTCTTGCTACATACAATACATATGTGAAATATGAAAGTCCTAGTACCTACTACTCAAAAGTTATGTCCAAAGTAAAATGTTGGAATTTTAGTGTAAAAGTGGGTCAAACTCCATGGTCAAGGTCAAAAGGTCAAATTTTGTGGTAGAAAGTCTTTATACACATGTGAAATATGAAAGTCAAGCTCCACTAAATCAAAAGTTATGGGCAAGGTTAAAGTTTTTGTGACGGACAGGCTGACAGACTGACCGACTGACAGACTGACGGACAGACGGACAGACAGACAGACGAATGAGATTTAATGTCCCCTCGCTTTCGCGAAAGCGGGGGACAATAATTTTACTTTAGATCAAATTTTACATGGGGCATAAATTTCAAAATTTATCCTATACCAACCACGCTGTAGAATTTGTATACATATTACCAGGGAAATTCTACAAGTTCTAAGAAGGTGTAGAATATCTGGAATGTCCAGACATACCGTCATTGTTATGCTGACAAAAGAATGACATCATTTACAATTCCTTGTTTTGAAAGGGCTGTACGTTTGACTTTTGTAGCAGAAACATACCACATCGTTATGGGCGCATAAAAGTTTTATAATTTATAATACTTCACGTGGGCGTCTAAAAATGTATCAATCCTTACGTGAATTTGGCATCGAAATTCCTTTGTTCAAACAGGTTATCTAGGTAAAGGAGATTGTCATTATCACAACAGGAATTTTGGCAGTGAAAGTTATAATATATCAATGCATTTTATGGTTATAGCTTTTTTAAAACGCATACATGTACATTTTTTTGCATTTTCAGATGCTTTCTAAGTTCAAAATACCAAGAACAGCTCAACATTTTCTAGAATGTCAATCTGAAGAATGCAAAAGTAATTGTGAATATTACTGTAACACTTGTCATCTACCGTTATGTAAGCAATGCAGAGATCTTCATCTAATGGTTCAAGAAAATAAGAACCACACTGTTGTCCTTTATCAAGAACGCACACGACAACTTCTTTTCGAGAAATGCAAGATTCACCCAACCAAGGAAACTGATATGTTATGTGATGAATGCCAAGTTTCGTTATGCTCCAAATGTGCCACATCCCAAGAGCACAAAGGTCACAGCTTCACTGACCTTGAGAAAATTCATGCTGAAAAGTTGGCACAATGGCAAAGGGAAATCGACAAAATCCACGAGTACTATATCCCAACGTCACAATTTTTGCAAAATGAAATAAAAGACGATGCAAAGAACATAAAGAAGATAATTGATAACATAAGAGAATCATTAATTGAAGATGCTGATTTACTCAGGAGCTTTGTAGAAACAATTGTTACTAGGAAAATGAAGCAGATAGACCAGATCGAAAGCTCATTGTTAAAAGATATAGAAATCCAGGAAGGTACATTCAGTGAGTACATCACTTATCTCAATGACATTGTCAAAGAATTCCATTGGTACTTAACGAATAGAAAAGCATTGTCAGAGGTCATGACAATTCAACCGATTCCATGCATAACAAAACCAGACACACCAGCATATATTGCTCGGAAATGCAAGATTGAAGATGTTGCAAAATTACTTGGTGAAATAAGCTTTTATGAAAAACGAACAGAAAGTAGAAAATTAAAGCCAATGAAAATGATATCTCAAGCAGAGAAAATCAAAGAAGAATGCCTAAAGAATAATGAACAAGTACAGGGGAAACAAATAATATCTTTATCACCCTCCATCGCCAAAATAAGGAAGTTCAACATACATGGTGCTTATGGTGCTCTTCACCTTTCAATGAGTAAAGGAGACCGATTCTGGGTCAGTGACTGGGATGGAAACCTTGTCCAAATTGATCTACAAGGAGGGCATCAGCTGGAGAAGATAAAAACAAGTCCTAGATCTGAAGGCTATCACACAACGACTATAAATGGAGATTTAATCTTCACAGACATAAGTAAGAAGGTCATTAGAAGAATGACACTTAACAACAAAAGCACCTCATTTATTAAAACAGGAGAATGGAAACCAGTCAGTCTATACTCCTCCAACTCCAACGGGGATATACTGGTGGGAATGGTTAAAGATAAAGAGGCAAGAATCACCAGGTATGACAAGACAGGAAAAGAGATACAAAATATACAGTGGGACAACAAAGCAGAGGAACTGTATAGTGCTCCATACTATATCACAGAAAACTTGAACGGAGATGTTTGTACTTCAGACTTTAGCAAACAAGAGGTGATGGTTGTGGATAGAAAAGGTCAGTATAGATTCTCTTACAAAGGTAGTCAAGAATCGGCGTTCTTCCCAAAAGGAATCTGCACGGATATCCTCCTCCACATTCTGGTGTGTGACTATTACAGTGATTCTGTGCACCTCATTGATCAGAACGGTCAGTTTTTGTCTTTGCTTATCACGAGACGAGATGGATTGAAGTCCCCGTGCAGTTTGTGTGTGGATGATGAAAATAACCTTTATGTTGGAAAGCTCACTAAAGGCATAACAGTGTACAAGTATCTTCAGTGATATTTTTTCTGACCAGCTATATAATAGTTACTTTATTGAGAGTCTACCCATTGGGATGATATCAGATGTGAATAACTTATGAATAATTATCTATTAAACTTTAATAAAGATATGCTGCAACATTCGAATCTGCACTGCGGTGTCACAAGAGGCATTTCCACAAGGACAAATATTTCTATCATTAAAACTTATGCTATAAAAAAATAACTTAATCGACTATCCATTAGCATTTTCTATTAAAACAACCAGAAAGACTTCTATTTTCAAGCTTTTCTTTTGTAAAATATCAAGTGAATGTGGGTTGAGGCAGCGCTGCATTAGGAATAAGTTTTTGCATTAAAACAGTGCAATAATCCAAATTTTTTTTCCACCCAGGGTTGTCGTAAGAACTGCAAAAACTGCATATTTAATCCGTTGAAAAATCTGTAAGTGGAGATATTTTATTTGAAGAATGTCCAAATGCATTCTTTATAAAAGTAACCATCGTGGCATTTACGATGACAAAAAATCTGCTGAAAGTTACTTCCCTTTTATGGATCTTGACAAGGAGCACAAAGTGGCTGTGACCGTTTGACAAAGGATACTCATTCCTTCATGGCACCTGTTCCCACATCTGATGTTTTCAGGGGCCCGTCTTTGCTTTGCTTCCGGTTTGTATTGTTGACCGGTCGGCAGGGGATGCTCACTCCTCTATGGTACATGATCCCACCTCTGATGTTCTGGAGGCCTGTGTTTGCTTTGTTCGTATTTTGTATTGTTTTATGGACTTTTGATATGGAACACTGTTCGTTATCTCCGTATCTTTCATTCAGTGAACTTATTAGCTAACTTATTAGCTTGATTACTGTAGGTTATTTCCATATTGAATAAGTATCATCGCAATTACTCCATTTGGTAATGTTCTGAATAAAAGACTGACAAAGGACACCTAAACTCTATATGCTCTGTTTGAAATTTTTAATTATTATTATAAAGATATTTATATGATAAATAATTGATGTTGAGAGAAAGGAACAACAGAAAATAAATATTTATGGAACAAGCAAAGTTCATGTGTGAAAAATCTTTAAAAATAGGTCATTGTGGTGCGTTGAAGCTAATAAGCGCGAAATCCATGAAATACTGAATAATATTAATAATGTAACCAATATTGTAAAATATATATTTGGTGAACATTAATTTGAAATATGATATCCAGTCCTTTATCAAATAACCACATTTTGATCACGAAATCTGTAAAAATTTACAGTATAAATATGATTAAAGCAAGAGTTCGGAAAACTATGTTAAGGAATCCCTTCATCATGCTCAAATTATTGTTTTTCATTCTATTTATCTGTGTTGCTAATGGTAACGAGTCTTGTGACCGGAAGGAGATGGAGGACACAATATGCAGCCTCTGTGGACAAAGAAAGGGAAATCAGCCGAATATATCTGGTACTTATTTCAATGTTTCAGAACTACTGGTTATGTTCATGTTTTATATCTCTAAAAACATTTTGTCTAGGATATAATAATTATTTTGGTAGTGCGTCCAAATATATTTAACCTTCATAATTTTTTTCTGCATAATTAAATGGTATGATCAATTATTAGTTTTAATATTTCATTAGTTTTTAAATCTTTTAAACTCAGGTAAACAAGTTGCGTTCCACGCCTATATGTCCAGTAATGTTCAGATCAAAACGTTATCCAAACACAAAATATTTGTTTATGATCGTGTTGAGACAAATGTCGGAAACGGATATGACGTCAAATCTGGAAAGTTCACAGCTCCAGAAAGCGGGGTTTACGTCATACACACAACTACTGTTGCCGTCGATAGATCTGCTTGCACTATCGAAATAGTGAAAAATGGCGTAATTAAGGACATTGGATTCGCTGACGCCTATGATCACAATGACAGGGCCTCCTCCTCGACATTAACTATTTTGAATCTGAAGAAGGGAGATGTTGTAAATGCTAGAGCCGGCTCATATGGAGGGAAGTATTTAGAGAGTCAAACTTCAGCACGAATGAGTTTCTCTGGATTCAAACTAGCATGAAAAAAAAAATGAAATAAATTTATGTATTTGAATCATTCGTTACAGTTCTTTACTATAGGATAAAACATTCTTTTCTTCCAGAATTTATCGATGTGTAAACGCATGCCTAGCCTTTGTACACAAAAGCTGAAAGTCTGTGTGCAAAGGCATGAGTTTAAACATTCATACATGTAAATTCTTTTTTTGTTAAATTAATTCATATACTTCCAACAGGAACGTGTTAGGTCGCGATGTATTTTAAATGTAACTTAACCATGATGAATGTCGATAAAGTTAAAAACAATCAATAAAGTAAACTTATAAAAACTCCTCTTGTATATACTGTTTAAGTCAAGACATTTCGATATTATATGTATACTTTAGAATAATTCATACTTGACCATGTTGACATTAACTGCAACGCTCTAAAACGAAATTAGCAGACTGACGACACCATAGTTGAATCCATACTTTTCAAAAGTTATGTCCCTTGGCCGCCATCTTTGGAGATAAACCCATCGAATCCTCACAGTACCTTTTGAAGTTTCAGGTGTGTAACTTTGTCATCTGACTGGGAAAAATCGTTGCATAGTGTATAATGATTGCCCCATGTTGGGGCTACCCCATACCTAAAAAGAAAACAATTTAAACAGAGTGGATTCATCATAGCCCACCCAAATGTTTGGTAGTGTAAAGAGGAGAAATGTTGTTTCTTACCCTTTTGACCTTTTGGTTGACCCCGCAAAGGAAAACAAGTTTTGTAAAGTGTGGATTGGTCTATTGATTTGCACTGGTTTGTTTAAAACTGGGTGTAATATAGGATGTGAAAAATATGAATTGATGTTAATTAGGTAAGAGTACGTTTCTCTTCCCCATGAGAATCACATAGCTACCGAGAATTGGGCTGAACTGATTTAAATTACGAATATATGACATAAGAGATTATTACTGAGTATAAATCACACCCGTGATCTGACAGCGACATAAACATAATATTCCCGTCTGTCAGTCCTGTCTGTCGCCAGTTTTGTTTTATTTTATTTCGAGTTTCTATTATCATAATTTAACAAAACAGACTAGAAGTAACTGTTTCATTTTTTACTGTAGCCTAAAAGCAAGGACAAGATAGTAGTATACAGTTGTTGACTGGGGTAGAGGGAAACAGTCGGCCGAGACTGCATGTTTTGTTATACTTCCTATACCGAATGAAAAGGCGGTTTAGCGCCATATGAGGTCAACTATTGCCCTTTTAAAGTAGGAAATTATAATACAATATATATCATAGGGACTGTTTATTAGTGGTATAACAATTTTGAATAAAAACTTTATTGCTTTGTAAACTTTTGCTTGAATTTGATCTCGTCCAATCCATATGCATGTAAAGGTAATAAATAAATAAAATTAAGATTGGCATTAATTTTTTTTCTAATTATACGAGTGTATTTTTTTTACACAATTCATATGAGTAAATAAGCAACTACAATGTACCGACCAAGTTAAAATTTAACTTTTGCAACGTTTTAACTTTGTACCAGTACATTTGACTTAAAATTGGATCTGCATAAGTCTCCTTCCAAAGAATCAAAACAAACTTCAGTAATACCTACGACACCTTATAAAAGAATACAGATTAAAATGACTGAAATCCAAGTTATGCACTTTTTAATAATTAAATTAAGCAAGCATGATAACTAGATGTAACAAAACAATCTACCTTTCCAATCATAAAAAATCTTATTATGCCAAATGAACTGTATATAAAATATAAACGTATCCCTGAAAATTAAATTCTATTTTCCCCCATACAGCATAAAAATAAGATACCGATAAAAACCTCCTATCACAAAATCACAGGAACACCATGAAGTCACTGTGGAGACATTTTTAAGTCTGCAAGACACCATAACAAGTCATCAAGATCTGCATTAAACGTCTGGAAACAAACGCAAGCTATAGTCACAGAGACGCTAAAGGCAGTCAAAAATACACCAGGGAACTATGTCCTTGGGCTGGTTAATCAACAATTTTGTTGTTTCATAACACAACCCAGGAACCTAGGACAAGTCACCACAAAATAGAGTAACGACAAAAGAAAATGAAGATTGATTGATTCAAAGTTGTACATCCCTTTGAGAATTTTTCACTCATATACATGTCAACAAATACCGATGAAGGACCTCAAATTAATTAAAACTATTACTCGGGAATCGAGGGCATTTGGCAGTGACTGAGGGTTCTTAAAGTTCTCTCAACAGCAGTTTGATTTTCATGTTGGCCGACATTTACGATCGATATCCTAATTCCTGAACGTTGACCGACCAACGATCGATTTAACAAAGTGTCTGCCCAAGGCGTCACGATGATTGATTGATTGTATGTTTTTATTGTCCCTCTCGAGAAATTTTCACTCATATGGAGACGCCACTTCTTGCTGATGAAGAGATGTGAATATTGTCCTTAAATCGGCATTGAGGCTCATTGAGCACAGCCAATAACATGTGACAAATTGAATGAAGAATGTTCTAACGAAATTAACATTCCAATTCAAAAAATACTTAGTATAAAATGTCAACATGCAAGAGTTATCTTTCCTAAATACCCAAGAATCAAAACACAAAGTTACGTTTAATTTATTGATTGTATGTTGGTACGTTTAATTGATTGATTGATTGTATGTTGTTTAATGTCCCTCTCGAGAATTTTTCACTCATTGGGAGACGCCACTATTTGTCGATGGAGAGCAACGAATTTTGTCCTACAGTCGGCACTCGTGGTCATTGAGCAGGAAGGGATCTTTGTCGTGCCGACAATTACTGCAACAATGGACCTCGGTTCATATTGTCTCATCCGAAGGACTGGTCTCCACGTCCCACAGTGGGATTCGAACCCGCGACGTAAAGTATTAAGTAAAAACCGAGGTCCCATGACGCAGTAGGTACTGGCACGACAAAGACTCTTCACTGCTCAATGGCCCTGAGCGCCAAACATACGGTATATAGGAGAAAATTTGCAGCTCTCCACCGGCAAGTGGTGACGTCTCCATCTGAGTGAGGGGCATAAAACAGCATACAATCAAATCTTTCCAGTAAAAAAAATAATAATTTTATGGTAAATGAATTTTCTATCTTAAGAAAAGGAAAATAATCTAGCTCGAAAATAAATGCTATCTCATTCAGAATTATGCCCTGTACTTGTCATTTACACAAATAAATAACATGGTACGGAATGCCATGACCATTATGTTTATCATAGGAAAAATCGACTAAATATCAAACAATCTGACATTACTATTGTAACAAATTATATAAACATCTATTGTAACAAATTATATAAACATCTTACAAGTCAAAATGAACATAAAATTTTGGGAATTAAGGATATATTTTGTATTAAATTATAGGAAAAACTCTCTGAGGATTTACAGGCGGAAGACGTAGAAAGAAGAAAACGGTTGGAGGTTGCTGGTAAACAATACTTTTGTAGCTGATCTTACATGTAATTCTAGAATAACAATACACCACTGCACAGTAAAGAATGATACAATAACAATAAATAAATAGAATTTAATTATAACATGTTTAAAATCATAAAATGACAGTTACATGTAACTACAAATTTTTCTTACATTGTGGCTACTGCTCTATCTAATCTAGGTGAATTTTATTATACGCGAGAATAAAATTTTCGCGAGCACACAGTCTCGCGCTTATTTACGCAAAAATGAAGTTCTTGCCAAAAAAAAGTTAACAGTAATTAACAGAAATGATGTGATATTAAAAAGTGATATCATGAATTGTGTAATGGTTGTCATGGACAACCATGGCCCTAAAGATGACAATAAATGAGTTATAAGGACCAACAATGTACATTATAAACGGGATGATATCAGACAATTTTTTGTATTATTCTGAAAAATATTAATAATAGATATCGATAAATCTTCCCAAACAACTTCCAGTTCAAATATATGTACAGATTAAAACTTCCTTGTTGGGGTACATGTTATTATTCAACGGGGTCAATTTTCAACATCAGTCGAGGTCATCAGCGATTTGAAAAATATTAAGCTGTAGATAAGTTACTACGGTAATATTATTCACGACTTTTGGTCTTTCAATTAATTCAGGGTACACGTCTGCAAATGTGTATATAGTACGAACATTTCTTCAGGTTATGTACTTTACGACTTTTGGTCTCATTTTAGGTAGGGCATATTGCTTTGCTACTAAGTGTCGGTCGGTCTGTCTGTCGGTCCACCATCAGTTTCCATTCATTTTCTTTGCAGAGGTTGCACATACTGAAATGAAATACCGGTATAGTATACAGATTTATCATAATATTTAGGTCAAGTTTTATTTGGGGTTCGATCGGGCCATTTTGGACATACATGTACATTTGTAGCTATGCTCCTTGGACTTCGAAAAATTCCAATTATTTGCAGTTTCCGTGCACATATTGAAATGAATTCGCATACAGATTAATCATAAGAAAATCTAGGTCACGTTCTGCTCAATGTACAATTGGGCCATTATGGACATAGTTGTGCTCCTTGGACTTAGAAAGATTCCAGTTATTTGCAGTTTCTGATTGCCTAAGGTGGATAGGCCGAACAGAGTGAGTTTAGCTAGAGGGTCGACAAAACACATTTTTTCACGAAAACACAGGCAATTAATGTTTTGATACCTTTTATTTTTTTATTTTGACACATCATGATGATGATATAAATTATGTTTCTCCCGCATTGGGGTTTAAACTTGGTCAATTCCGTGAAGTTCTCTAAAGTTCTGTCGAACTCCAAGGAATATTAGCTGATCCCGTCCACACTAACACAAGCCATTATCCCATCAACAGCTACAACATCTCACCCTGTGGTTAGACTGGTATTGCCTGTCTTTATCGTACGCAGTATACACAATATATCGGATATCAGAAAGGCAGGCCAGTAACCTTGTGGTCAAACATTGTTTTTCTTTGACCGCTCATTAAAACATTGGAAATGTTAATATTTTTCAAAAATAGAAACGTATAACAATCTACGTTACCGCCCTAGGTCGACATCTTATTTTTTTCGGCGACTCTGAAAATTTCTATTCTTTTTTTCATCGACCTAAATACATGAATATAAATGTACATGTATTGAGAAAAGAATCACCTATTCCCTTTGCTTTACTCTTGTATTGATAAACAGAAAACGAAACAAGATTTTCTGGGTATTTCCATTAACTTAACATGCGGTCATACCGCCATTTGCAGAGATAATATAAGGAAGCTATTTTATGAGTTATACATGTATGTATACGTTTATTTTAAAATAAATACAAATTGTATAATCATCTAAAAGAAATGTTGAATTTCTCAATAATGATACTTAAGTTTATTTTGACTCTTTCATCAAATACAATATTCTAAAATAAAAACATGCAACAAATTTCAAACACTGAAATTAATCTGCATCGAGACAATGTTTCTTCAATCACAAATCAAGAAAAGTTGTTGTGGAGCTCACAACATGTATCTACTATCGTCGAAAACCAAGGCCAAAATGTACGGTCCTCTCAAATTCTGGCCGTGGTTGAATGAGAGAAAAATATTTCGTATCTCGTTAAAACATTGGCCAATACGAGTAAAGCATAGTCAAAGAAGGAATTTTGACGTCTCCTAATAGCAAATACCGGTACATGTAGAAAGTTACGAAAAAAAAATTGTTTACTGCTGATGTCATTGTTGATTTCAATTGCGATGGAAACAAATACAGTCATTGGCTGAACATGGTGTCACAGCATAGAGGCGTAAAAAATATTCAAGATTACCACAATTCATGTGATCATGATATGATAATATGTTATCACATATAGCTATTATCATAGAGAGCTATTGTGACTTGAGACAATGACTAATTGACTATCTACATCAGTAATACAAAAATGGTCATTATTTGTACAACGAAATATATATTACATTTCTCAATAATGATCCTTAAGTATAACTTACCTTTATTTAAAATAAAAAATAACCTATTGATTGACAGGATGGACCACGTTCCCCGTCTATCAGAGGTCCTGTATGTTGGTCTGTGTCGTAAGATAGGGACACCGACAGAAGTGGCCATCAGAAGGGACGTGATGGACATGGAGGAGATGATAAAGAAACCTGTTTATAATCATAAAGGATATGTTATAATGGAAAGTGGGAGTTATAGAGAGGGGTTTAGGTTGACATCATCGGACAGGGACACAATGTTCTGGTAATGTAAATATAGATTAATAACTGACATCTCCCAGTCTCGGTTTTATGATACAACAAAACATGATATTGTGCTAATGGAAGATTCTGATACACCGCCAGGATTTGTCAAACTGCGGATCCTGACACCAGTGCGACACATAGACACGATGTCAAGCCTTGTTCTCCTTAATGGCGGGGCTTATTTATCTAGTCTTCTGTGGAGAGAACAAAGTTTACAGTACAGGATTAAGGAAGATCCCTACACTGAAAATGTCAGAATCCATGGTCCTTGTAGGAGTGGTTTCTATGGATTTCTTGAATTTGATGAAGCTTATTGCTTGGCCACTATTCTTTGGCCTAAACTATTAGGAAGTTGGGTTGACAGATGCCAGAGACACACCTGGCCGCCGGTACCTGTGTTAGAAAAAATCCTAAAAAATGAATGTCATTGTGTGCCTATTGGAAGTAAAATTGAATCGCCTTATAACGAACTGGAATGGAGGTTATCATTTTCTCAAGCTGAGCAACAACTGGTGTGTACTATGAATCATACACAGTTTCTATGTTACGGACTCCTGAAAATATTTCTGAAAGAAGTCATCAATTGTGGGGAGGATAAATTACTGTGTTCCTATTACATAAAGACCACAATATTCTGGATAATGCAATCAGGACAAGTTAGATGGTGCTCTAACAACTTATTGGATTGCTTTTGGATGTGTTTTAAATATCTTATTCAGGGTGTTTATCGTGGAGTTTTTCCCAATTTTTTCATTCCACAGAATAACATGTTCATAAACAAAGTTATAGGTGTTGCACGTGAATCTCTCTTACAACAGCTTAATCAGTATTACAGAATGGGCATGTCCTGTTTACTGCTGAGTCCGACTCTCAGATCAATCCTAGAACCAGCTCTCAGTAGCCCGTCCTTTGTGTTATCTCCTGCTGAGGGGGAATTCATAAGTGTTGCAGATTTAGATAATTGTGGTGTGAATGAATTATTTCAATTAGGTTTCTTTGCACGACACATGCTGGACTCTTATCTTTACTTAAAATCAATAAACACACTATCTCGGTTATCAATCTCACCATACCAGTTGTTAACATTACAGTACTGTACTGCTCAGACTCTTGTCCGTTTAGCCTTCATGATGACAAACAGTACTTCGTGTTGCACGCATAAAATGATATACAACTTAGATACAATAATTTGTGGCATATTGAAAATGGCAGCAAGATTAGGTCCTGTGTCTCATTTACTTTATCTAGCATTGTATTACTATAGATCAGGGAGGTATGATAAGACAGTACATATCATTTTTCTTACTAAACGAAGATTGTCACAGGACTTTATTATGTATAATGAAACGGTTGAAAGGCAGAGGTACAATGAAGCTGTAAGTATTCTGTCTTTGTCTCGAAGAATGAAGATAGCATGGGTGCATGCTGTGTGTTCATTTGAAAGCTTTCCCTTAATTGAAGAATTGTGTTTAGAACAAAATGTAAGTAAAGAACATGGAATGCCAAACCTAACATTATCACCCTTTGTTATGGTAGAGATGTTGTCTGTGTTATCTCACTATAGAATGGGTAATAGATCTCAGTGTTTACAGTCACTGACAGACCTACAGACACTGCTGCTCTATGATGACGGGACATATGCTCCTTTACATTTGAGAGACATATGCTGGCAGATACTAGGAAACTGTCAACATGTTGTGGGAGACTTGCATGGGGCGTTACGGTCTTATGAAGAGTCGCTCAGACAGTATCCTTTCTACAAAATAAAAGAAGCTACAGATCTTAGAATAGAATGTGTTAAACAACAATTACAGAGAAATGTACACATGTGAAATATGTTTTACAATGTTTCTATCGTAATGTAACGAGTTGTAGATCAGGTATTGAAGCATCACATGTTTGATAAAAATGTAACGCACACAGATAAAACGTAACTGTATGAAGATAATATATCCTCAACTTAAAGTAAACTGGAAATTTTTATGATTTATTTATATATCGAGAATACATCTTCAAAAAACTACAAAAGAATTGTACATCCGCAAGTGAATATTTTTTTCCAGTATTTCTTATGATAATCATAACTAGTATAGTTGGACGGGTTTGTAAATGTGTGAAAGAGTTATTATTAAGCGATAGTCTCTTCCATCAATGGACCATGACGTAAAGATCAATAAATTAATGCAATATTTTACACATATATATGAACTTTGTATGGTTAATTAAAAACATAAATATTAACAAAACATGGCTTAAATTTTTTTTATGTGCGACTAAGACCACAAAACATATATAAGCTGATGCATATTACACCATTTCCATCCAGTTGATACATTCAAAACATTTAATCATGGACATGGGCCCAGGTACAATTTGACACACACTTTTGAGAAAACTTACACAATTTTTTTTTCTTTAGATGTTGATACGGAAATTAAAGCCGCAGTTGTTGCAGAAAAAATACATAATCCGCTTATTTTTTTTCGAAGAATTCATGTATTTTTAATAAATAATAGTAATCAGTTGAGCCCCGCCCTAACACTAGAACACCTGACCAAGGCGCCATGAAATTCACCATTTTGGAAGAGGCACTCTTAGTCATCATTACTATGTACTTAGTTAGTTTGTTTAATACCCAGGGTTAGAGGAGAATATTTTCAAAGAATTGATGTTTTTTCACTATATAATCAATCAATAGACCCCCTTTTACACCAGAACCCATGACCCAGGGGCCGTAAAATTCAAAATTTTTGAAGAGACACTCTTGCTCATTTTTATACCCCGCCATGAATATGGCCGGCGCATATAGTGTTTGTCATGTCCGTCTTCCGTCCTTCTGTCCTTCCGTCACACTTTGCATTTAGCTCTGTTCAAAGCTAAGTTTCAAAGAAACTATCCAAGATGTTGTCATCAAACTTCACATGCTGATAGATATCTGATAGACATTGATGAGAGCTATGCAACTGCATCAACATTTTTTACCTTGACTTTGACCTTGACCTCACTTTTCGTAAATTAGTTTTTACCTCAGTTTTAAACATACCATTCAAGATGGTGTTATCAAACTTCACATGTTGATACAAACTTGCACGGATGATGTATCTAGGGATGAACACTACCAGACTTGCTTCGAATGCTGGATCTGACTTACATTTTCCCGATGAATGACCAGGGTAAATTTTTTGGAGCAGGTCCATTCCTAAGGAACTATAAGCCCTACTTAGACCAAACTTGCATGGATGATGCATCTAGGGAGTGGACACTACAAGACTTGCTTCGGATGCTGGATCTGACCTATATTTTCACTCCCAAGTAACTATAAGCCCTGCCTGAAGCAAACTTGCATGGTTGATGCATCTAGGGATGGACACTACCAGACTTGCTTCGGATGCTGGATCTGACCTACATTTTCATACCCAAGTAACTATAAGCCCTGCCTGAACCAAACTTGCATGGGTGATGCATCTAGGGATGGACACTACCAGACTTGCTTCCGATGCTGGATCTGACCTATATTTTCATACCCAAGTAACTATAAGCCCTGCCTGAACCAAACTTGCATGGGTGATGCATCTAGGGATGGACACTACCAGACTTGCTTCCGATGCTGGATCTGACCTATATTTTCATTCCAAAGTAACTATAAGCCCTGCCTGAACCAAACTTGCATGGATGATGCATCTAGGGATGGACACTACCAGACTTGCTTCGGTTGCTGGATCTGACCTACATTTTTATTCCCTAGTAACTATAAGCCCTACCTGAACCAAACTGATCAAATTTTATACACATACAAATTTTCATATTGCTCTACTAATATATCCGCAGCGGGGCATTCATGTGCTATGGACATATTTCTAGTTTAATTAAATTCTTAGTTTGTTTATTTCATACTCAGTAACTTTGTGAGAGTGCAAGGATGGGTCAATCAAACACGTTCCAAAATTCGAAGTTCAATTATTTCCAGATGAAATAAGTTGTTTTTTTTTATTTATATACAGAAAATTTGAGAAAATATTTAATCTGTGTCAAAGCACCTTTAA